AGGTAAAGAAACCTTTAACAATCTTTTATCAAGAATAGACCAATACTCCAAGAAATTCTTGTCATTTTAACAGAGAGAAGATCAATTTTTAGTTTTGCATTAGTGTATGGTATTTTGATATTGAGTCATTTTAGACCCTTATAATAAATTCATTCAATGTTAGCCAACTTGATCATGCAACATTCTCTCTTCCCAACTTTCTATATCAGTTGTTAGTCCTTTATTCTCCTTTTACATTCTGAAAAATTTAAATAATCTCCAAGCTAGAGATTATTTTTCTTCTATAAACACACATTTTCATGTCCCATACCTTTTCTTGCCAAAAATACATCCTACTTTTCTTGTATACAGAGTTGTTTTCCCCATTGTCTCTCAGTTTTAATTGCATATATTAATTATAATTTTTTTCTTTTTTCTTTTTTTTGAGACAAAGTCTTATTCTGTCACCCAGGCTGGAGTGCAGTGGTGCCATCATGGTTCACTGCAGCCTAGAGCTCCCAGGCTCAAGCGAACTTCCCACCTCAGCCTGCTGAGTAGCTGGGATGACAAGTACATGCCACCAAGCCTGGCTATTTTTTAAAAAAAAATTGGTAGATACAGGGTACCACTATATTGCCTAATTATAATCCTTAACCCTTAGTAAACCTAATTTCTAGTGAGAACTAGGAAGTAAGCAATTGTGAATTGTTTGGCACATACTCTACAACACTCTGTAGACTGGCAAATCTATGAATATATAATTTCATAATTTCTAGAAACATATGGTTTCCCATAGCACTGTTTTTCAGTGTTGCATGGGACATATCTACCAACAGACCACACTTCTGTAATAAGAAGCCAAAAGTTCATAAATTTAAACCTATGTTTGGCAATTGATATTTCAGTATTTTATCTTATTTGTAAATGGTCTAGATACTCAATGAATATCCACAATTTAACTTAACAAAACTCTAAGGGTATATGTTACCAAAGAAATCGGGGAAACTATTTTTCAGTAGACATATTATAAAACATAGTCATTGTTTAGAAGTTTATTTATAAATTTATCCCACTTACTTGTATTTAATTGACTGTTTTTAACAATTACATTTGGATTATTCATGAAAATTTCATGAGACAGTAGACAAATCTCAAGTTATTTTCTAGCCACAATCTCAAGTTATTTTCCTGTTAACTGTTTTTATATCACACATTCTCATGTTAAGCAAGCATCACGAAACCAAAAATCAACTTGGCCATTCTAGTGAGACCTTGTATCTACAAAAATAAAAAATTAGCCAGGCATGGTGGCACATGTCTGTAGTTCGAGCTACTTGGGAGGCTGTAGTGGGAAGATCGCTTGAGCCCAGGAAGAATAGCCTTCAGCAAGCCAAGATTGAACCTCTGCACTCTAGCCTGGGTGACAGAGGGAAACTCTGTCTCAAAAAAGAAAAAAAAAGCAAAACCTAAAAGTTAATACAGGCTGTTTTGTTTTAATGCTATGCTTGATATACATGAAGTAATAGGTAGTACTTTTTTTTTTTTTTTGAGACGGAGTTTCGCTCTTGTTACCCAGGCTGGAGTGCAATGGCATGATCTCGGCTCACCGCAACCTCCGCCTCCTGGGTTCAGGCATTTCTCCTGCCTCAGCCTCCCGAGTAGCTGGGATTACAGGCATGTACCACCATGCCCAGCTAATTTTTTTTTTTGTAATTTTAGTAGAGACTGGGTTTCACCATGTTGACCAGGATGGTCTGGATCTCTTGACCTCGTGATCCACCCGCGTCGGCCTCCCAAAGTGCTGGGATTACAGGCGTGAGCCACTACACCCGGCCATAGGTAGTACATTTTTACTTGTACTTTTGTGCTTAAATTCAATTTAGTGATTTTTATAATTTTAAATATTTAGTATAGAAAATATAAGCTCAGGCTGTAGTTCTCAAATCAGACTTGAGGAAATTTTCCAAACCCATTCAGGTTGTTAGCAAAATTCAGTTCCTAGTAGCTTAAAGGGCTAAGGCCCCCAGTCCCTGGCTGGCAATCAAGTGGGGGCCACTCTTAGCTCCTAGGCCTTCCGCAGTTTCTTACTATATGACCCCGTAGATAATTTACAACATAGATGTTTGCTTTCTTTCAGGCCACCCAGAACACATCTCTCTGATCTCTTCTGTGACTAGCCAAGGAAAAGTCTCTGTTTTTAAAGGGCTCACTTGATTAGATTAGACCCAGCAAGGACATTTTCCTATTATTTTGTTGGGTTTTTTTGTCTGCTGTTTTTTAAGACAGTGTAATGCTATATTGCCCAGGCTGTTCTCACATTCCTGGGCTCAAGGGATCCTCCTGCCTCAGCCTCCCAAGTAGCTGGGATGACAGTTGTACTACACCACCATGCCTGACTATAAAAGATGGAATCAGTGTTACTGATTTCTCCTCACTATCTTAGAGTCAATGGATAGGGACCTTAAACACATCTGCAAAATTCCTTTTGCTGTTGTGCAAAACAAAAATTCGACAAGGATATTAATTTTAATTTTACTCAGGCTATTGTAATAGGTAGAGCACCCCCAATCCAAAGATCAGAGTATCTCAGAGGTGATTTTGCCTTAGAGATTCAGAGAGAATGGTAATCAAATTTCAGGTGAAGTGATTTACAGTGGAGTGTTTTCGCAAGCAGGGGTATTATCAGTTGGTTAGCTCAACAGAAGTGTTTTTCTCTGTGATAGCTAGTTTTTCCAGGGATAAATGATTTTAACTTCAGTAATCATGAGTCAAGGAACAAGAAGTTGAGGGTCTGGGTTTGGCCTTGTCAGCAAATTCATGCAAAAGGGAAAATGCCTGTGTTTGTCCCTTACACAGGTAAATGGTGGAGTTATCCTCAACTGCTATAGGAGTCCTGAGAAAGAGTGGAAAGTGAGTCCTAAGTCATATGAAGAAAGGTGGTTACTTGCAGTAAGTTCTTTCCTGGAACAAAAGGTTGGAGGGATTTCTTAACTGTCGCTGTTCTCCAAGAGCACATGACTCAGGTAAAGTTTAACATCTTCAGCCTTTTGTTCAATACTGAACAACTCAGGTGAGAATAAACCCAGGTGGGACCACACAGGGTCTAAGAAACAGTCTCTTGAGAACTCTTGCTAGTGCTGTCCTGTAAAAATCAATCGAATTACCTCTTGAGAGGTAGTTAAAAAAATCAGCTGTTTTGAAGTCCTGGACATGAACCATCTTAATAAGAGGATGACTAAAATGAAAAAGAGAAATATTAATAGGAAAAGCTGTTTGAAAATAATTGCCTCAGAGTTGAAACTGAGGGTAACCAATTCAGTGGATTCCAAGAGGTTGGTAAAACTCATTTCTTGAGGCTAAAATGTTGATGCTTTTGGTGATGTCCACAGTCTTAGCTACCTTTCATGTAATGACATGCATAACCAGTATTTTGCCAAACTTCTTTACTGGCCCTAACAGTCACTTGTTCAGAAAGAAATCCATACTGGCTGGGTGAGGTGGCTTATACCTGTAATCCGAGCACTCTGGGAGTCTGAGGTGGGAGGATCACCTGAGGTCGAGAGTTCGAGACCAGCCTGACCAACATGGAGAAACCCCACCTCTACTAAAAAATACAAAATTAGCCGTGTGTGGTGGGGCATGCCTATAATCCTAGCTACTTGGGAGACTGAGGCAGGAGAATCACTTGAACCCAGGAGGCGGAGGTTGCAGTGAGTCAAGATCATGCCATTGCACTCCATTCTGGGCAACAAGAGCAAAAACTCAGTCTCAAAAAAAAAGCAAGAAAGAAATTCATACATGGTCTGCTATAGTGATGAGTCATTGAATCCTTCAAGATTTATAGGAAGCCATTGGTCTTTAACTCACACAACTTCTTAAAATTCCAAAGAAAAAGACCAAGCAGTGCCTGAAAGGATCTAACTGGTCAAGTTTTAGTTCTTGGTGATGCTGAGTCACACAGAAGGGAGAAAATTTGGAAAACTTTGTTTAGAGGGTCGTAGCCAGATATTGAAGAACACTGGAAGAGTTGAGCATTGGGTAATTGTTGGTAATTTGTGCAAATTACAGGTGTATGCCCATACTGGTTTTTCCACAAAAAGCATATAAAGTATGGATGAAGGAAGGAGGTTAAACCTCTGCCAGAGAAGACAGGGTTTGCATATCCATCAATTACCTACAATTACAAGAAGTGCAGATAACTCAAAGGCAATGAACAGGGCCAGAGTCTGATAACATTATTGCAACTCAGGCTATAGTGCTATATTTTCCATTGAAACAGAAAATATCTCCCCAGTCACTCCCCTTTTAATCAAAGATGATCTTGAATATTATCCTTGAACACAAAAAAATATAGTCTCATTAGATTTGACCTGATTATTTACATAGGTGCTAAAAAAAACCTGTAATATACCAGAGTCCTTCTTAAATTTGCTTTGCTGAAAGTGTAATAAGATATGTCATATTAAATTTTTAAACACTTTTTGAGCTAGGAAACCAAGCCAAGAACTCACATCAGCTTTTACCTACAATACCTAAAACTTTGGGTGAATTCCTCACTTCTCAAAGTTCATAAAATATCCTAATGTTCCCAGTCCTGCCAGGAAATGACAGTCTTTACTCACTCTGTAAGACAGATAAGAGTCCAGTTTTCCTAGGTATGCTTTGTAAGCATTAGTTCCATACAATTAACCATAGTTCCTTGAAAGTGTCAGGTCATATCTGATTTAGTGATCATTGTCGAATATGACATTTTAAGGCATTTGTTGCATAACCAATGTTTGCAATTAAATGATGTTAACAAGGAAGATGGACTCAATGAAATTGTACAAATAACTATATTGCAATGAAAATAAAAATACTCAGTAAGGCCAGATGTGGTGGTTCACACCTGTAATCCCAGCACTTTGGGAGGCTGAGATGGCCAGATCACTTGAGACCAGAGTTCAAGATCAGCCTGGCCAACATAGCAAAGCCCCATCTCTACTAAAAATTAAATATTAGCCAGGTGTGGTGGCACATACCTGTAATCCCAAATACTTGGGAGGCTGAGGCATGAGAATCACTTGAACCCGGAAGGTGAAGGTTGCAGTGAGCTGAGGTGGTGCCGCCACACTGTAGCCTGGGTGAGAAAGTGAGGCTCTGTCTCCAAAAAAGAAAAAAAACAAATCAGTGAGAGTTTTGAAATACTGGAGAAGTCAGGCAGAGAGAAAAACATAAATATTTCATTTCTTTTTACAAAAGCATAATCTAATCAATTATTGAGTGACAGCTTACGAGGAAAGAGAAAGTTGTTCCTTATGTTCAGAAAATATAACACTAAACATCGACAATATTCCATCTAGTCCTATGTAAGTAATTCTTGTTCCACTCAGTCTTGAGTTGGCAGTCTCAAAAATCTATCTGATTCTGAACTACAGTTCTGGAAATTCTGTCTCAGTCCACTGGTATAAATTCAAAATTGTTTCCGTAATGCCGTCAGAAAAGCCTGTGCCCAAGAGTACCTGGACACAGGGCTCCTTTTTCATAGGGCTCTGAAACAATCCATCTTTGTTGACTCACTCTGGGCATGGCTGATTGCAAGTGCCTCACAGAAGCATCAGAGTAAATCAAAAAACTGTCTAGAGACGACAAAAGACCTTTCCTTTTTCCCCCTTCCATTCCCATCCCTTCCCTTCCCCTCCTTCCCTTCCCTTCCTTTCCCCTCCCTTTCCCTCCCCTTCTGCCCTCCCCTTCTCTTCCTTTCCTTTCTTCCACAGGGTCTTATTCTGTCACCCAGGCTGGAGTGCAGTGGCACAATCTCAGCGCACTGCAACTTCCACCTCCTGAGCTCAAGTGATCCTCCTAACTTAGCCTTCTGAGTAGCTGGGACTACCGGTGCATGCCACTAAGCCAGCTAATTTTTATTTTTTGTAGTAATGAGGTCTCACCATGTTTCCCAGGCTGGTCTTGAACTCCTAGGCTCAAGCGACCCACCCACCTTGGCCTTCAAAAGTGCTGAGATTACAAGTGTGAGCCACTGTGCCTGGCTGATGACAAAAGGCTTTTAATGGCTAGTAATAAGTTATTACTAACAACTTTCCAGAGTAAAAGGTCTGATGAGAGTTTATTATAAGAATAATGCACCTGGCAAAGACATGTTTCCATGGCATGCAAAATGAAATGTCAACCCAAAAATGTTTTAGACACAATATCTATAAACACAATGATTAATCTGATTTTCAAAGAAGAGTAGATAATACATCTATATTTTGAAAAGAAGCAAATGTAATCTTTACAGAGGAATAAATATAATAATCCTGAGACACAATATACCATGGATATACTAAATATATAGACTACACCAAGAATATATCAAGTTTATCAAGAGACTCAGAAAATCTCAAGTAGATCCTAAATATCTGAATTTGATAAATCTTTACAGGTTAATGATATGAATCCCCAGTTGAAAACCTCTAGACAAGAGGATGCTAGACTCAAATTAAAGTTGCAACTAAATTAACATTAAAAAAAATGACTCAAATTATGACCAGTGTTATTATACTTTTTTTTTGTCTAATATCTTGGCAGAACAGCATTGATACTTGGTAAGTGGAAATATAAAATGGATGGTGAGGACATTAGCAAATCTCTATGAACTTCTTGTGTAGCACACAATTTCTGAAATATTTATGTTAATAGCATTTTACTCATACCTTTTATCACCTCTTCTGATTTGATAATTTTTCACCTCTTCTGATTTGATAATTTTTCCCAAGGAACTCATCAATGGTAACAAATTAAATAAACCTAGTTGTTTCTAGCACCTCCCTTTTTATAAGATGAAAAACAAATTCCTTGTGATTTTTCAGAGGCCTTTGGAAAATCATTTTAGGTGCAAAATATATCATTTAGGACTTTATGTTGGAAAGGCAAAATAGCAAAAGGTGTCAAGAGATTTGAACAGTTGATTAAATTGGATCGTGGGTTACTGGGAAATAACACTTGGCTACCTATTTAACCAAATGACAGCAAAATGAGATTAAAGAATTTTAAAGGTGGGGCACAGTGGCTCACACCTGTAAACCCTACACTTTGGAAGGCCGAGGCAAAAGGATCACTTGAGGCCAGAGTTTGAGACCAGCCTGGGCAATGTAGCAAGGCCCCACTTCTACAAAATTTTTTTAAAAATCAGATGGGCTTGGTTTTTAAACCCATCTACTTGAGATGCTGAGGCAGGAGGATGGCTTAAAGCCCAGGAACCTGAGGTTGCAGTGAACTATGATTGCATCACTGCACTCTGGCCTGGGCAGCAGAGAGACCCTGTCTCTAAAAAGTAAAATAAAGTAGGCCAGCACAGTGGTTTACGCCTGTAATGCCAGGATGTTGGGAGGCCAAGGCGGGCGGATTAGGAGATCAGGAGATCAAGACCCTCCTGACCAACATGGTGAAACTCTATTTCTACTAAAAAAATTAAAATAGAAATAAATAGCTGGGTATGGTGGCATGTGCCTGTAATCCCAGCTACTGGAGAGGCTGAGGCATGAGAATCACTTGAACCTGGGGGGCGGAGGTTGCAGTGAGCTGAGATCGCACCACTACACTCCAGCCTGGCGACAGAGCGAGACTCTGTCTCTAAAATAAAATAAAAATTTAAAGCATACATAGATGATAACACAATTGAAAAGGACCTTGGTTCTTCTTTCATAAGTGTGCAGCTTTGTTCTCTTAAATAATCAAGGACATGATAAACTCAACATAAAGCACAGGAAATTATTTTGATAAAACACAGATTCTTTGTCCTATAGATTACTCAGAAGGTAAGAAAAATCTCTTGCAACTGAGACAGGGTAGGGCCTCCTAAAGGAGGCTTTAGGGCCTGGCTGCCCACTGTTCCCCTTCCCCCAGGTATGGAAATATAAAAAAATCTTGAGCTACTTCAAAGGAAATTCTGGGCACCCTGCTAGCCTTGAGAAGTAAATGAGTAACTGATAAGCAAGAAGGTAATAGTTTTAAACAATAGCCAAGGAAGTTAGAGCCACAAGATGTCTGGTTCCCTAAGGAAACTAAAGATAATATATTAACATATGTTCTTCAGTTGTTTTTCAGAAACCTGAACCCCCACCAAACAGAAGGTCCATCCTGCTGCATGCAGAACTCAGATAATAGTGGTCAGACTAAACTGTGACCACTGTTCTTTGTTCTAAATTTCTTCCTGAGGGGCCTAGAGAGTCACACCCACAGGCCAGACTGTAACATTCTTTTCTGCTGACCCCAAGTTTTTAGACAAAGCTTTGCTTCCTTAACCAATTGCAAATCAAAGAATCTTGGAAACCACCTGTATGAGTCCATTCTCACGCTCCTATAAAGAATTGCCCGAGACTGGGTAATTTATAAAGGAAATAGGTTTAATTGATTCCCAGTTCCACAGGGCTGGGGAGGCCTCAGAAAACTTAAGAGTTATGGTGGAAGGGAGCGCAAACACATCCTTCTTTACGTGGTGGCAGGAAAATGAATTGCTGAACAAAGGAAGAAAAGACCTTTATAAAACCATCAGATTGTCCAGGCATGGTTGCTCAGGCCTGAAATCCTGACACTTTGGGAGGCTGAGGCGGGCGGATCACCTGAGGTCGGCAGTTCAAGATTAGCTTAGCCAATATGGCAAAACCCCATCTCTACTAAAAATACAAAAATATTAGCTGGGCATACTGTTGTGCACCTGTAATCCCAGGAGAGTCACTTGAATCTGGGAGGCAGAGATTGCAGTGAGCCAGATTACACCATTGTACTCCAGCACCTGAGTGACAAGAGTGAAACACCATCCCCCCACCAAAAAAAATTAGATTTCATGAAAACTCACTATCATGAGAACAGCATGGGGGAATCACCCCATTATCTAATCACCTCCCACAAGGTTCCTCCCACAACACATAGGGATTACAATTGAAAATGAGATTTGGGTGGGGACACAGAGCCAGACCATATCACCACCTATGACCTGTAAGCCCATGCTTCAATATATCTTACCTTTTAAGGCTAAACCAATGTATAACCTCCACATATTAGTATACAATTTTGCATGTAATGTCTGCTTTTCTGAAACTTACCCCTTCCTTTAAAAACCTTTGGGTTTAGGCCAGTAAAACTGTTGGGTCTTAAGTGTAAGCCGCCCAATTCTCCTTACTTGGTGCCCTGAAAATAAACAACCTCCTTTTTCTCACCGTAAACCTTGGTATAGACTAGCTTTCCTGTACCAGATGAGTGGATCCAGGTTTGGTTTGGTTTTATAAACATTTTACTAACACAGCCAAGTAATCTAAGAAGACTTTGGAAAATTTTTTTTTTGAGACAGTCTCACTCTTTTGCCCAGGTGAGAGTGTAGTGGAATGATCTGGGCTCACTGAAACCTCTGCCTCCCAGCTTTAAGCAATTCTCCTGCCTCAGCCTCTGGAGTAGCATGGATTACAGATGCATGCTGCTATACCTGGCTAATTTTTTTGTATTTTAGTAGAGACAGGGTTTCACCGTGTTGCCCAGGCTGGTCTTGAACTCCTGAGCTCAGGCAATCCACCCACCTCGGCCTCCCAAAGTGTTAGGATTACAGGTGTTAGCCACCATGCCTGGCCGACTTTGTAATTTTAACAGAAAGAAAACCAAATTCAAGTTTTATGGAAGTATTATATTTTATACTAAGCCTTTTTCTAACAATCTTATAAGTAAAATCATCAAATTTAGCCAGCTTTGACCAGACAAAATTTCCTTCCTGCGAATCTTCCATGACTTTGTATATCCATTCAGAATTTTTCCTATACTTTACTCCTTCTCATACTGAAACAAAGTCATTTTACTTCAACTCAAAACTACTTTTTTTTTTTTACAAAAATCCATTTCCATATACTTTGCATAGAAATTTGTTTTTTTTCTCTGCCTCTATTTGCTCCTAGTAGAGTCTCATTTACTTGTAACCACAGGACTTATATTTTACACAGAAAACTAGACTGTAAATAATTGCAGCTGTTTTTGTAACACACCAGCATTTTTAGCAGACCAGCAAAGCTTATGATTATATATCTTACAATTTTATAGTGATACATATCCCTAACTCACAAAAATGAGTATATTTATTAATAGTTCCCAAGTATATAGTCTCTCTGTATTATATC